TGACATATAACTAACTACTCTTCAGGAAATTCCTCGAGAGGCAAAATTTTTGATTGGATTTAGGAGCACTGCTATACGACGGACATTAAGATAAAGTAGTCTGCGATTTTTTGCAAAACAAAATTCTTTGTGGCATTTTTGACACGAAGGGATTTTATTTTACTGTCTTTTAATTTCTCCATATTTACCTAACATTTGTTAAACTGGTTTTAATATCTATAGGAACCTTTACTTGTTACTCTCTTACGTCCAAGTAGAAATAAAAGTTTTTTGTTGATATTGTGAAGTCCTTACTGATCGAAAGCGATAGAAGGATATAAACTCGTTTACTTAAATCGAGTGAATCTGACATTGAAGCACGCGCAACTTTTAAAGAGACAAACGCCTGTTTCTGGGCGAATATAAAGTAGCTTTGCATATAAAAAATCTCTTAATATCTTAATCTCTTAAAGTTATAACATAAAGAGCTGCGTAAATAGCTCGTACCTTATGCAAGTAAGTAAGACCTTTTTCGCAGTCCCAATTCATAATACCACTAATTCTCTTTTTACACGACTTTTTTAATCACGAAATTTGATTTAACACGAGAAAAAATTCTCTTTTTACACGATCTTTTTTTTTTTTGATTTTTTTATGAATTTTTTCTCTTCACACATGAAAAAAATTTCTCTTTTTACACGAATTGTTTTCTTTATTATTTTTCTGTGAATTTTTTTTTTTCCCACTCTTTGTAAATGTGCATTGTAACTTCGCATTATATTTATCACAATTCGGTTACATTATACCTATACATGACACACTTGATCCATTTTCAATACGAAATGACTTACAGAAACTTTCAATATTTTTGACCAAAATTGAAGTCAATAACTTAATTTTTGCCATCAGAAGGGTGTCAACAAAGTACACTACACAGGCGTACAGACCGGCAGACATGGCTTAATCGATTCGAATCGCATTCCAGGCTTATGAACAATATTAGAGACCCTATTAGCGAGTTGCATACATTATGACAAAATGAGTAGACTCTATCCTTCGACCGTGGGTATTATGAAGCAAAATTAAATGAAAAAGACGATCTAAAATAATTTGAAATAGCAATCTGATAGATAGAGATATGAGATTGTAATGGAATTGAATTAGCCAATGCAAATCAAAGTGTTCATTAGGAGACCAGACCATTTAATATTAATTTTTTCTATCGATTGCAAATATCAAACATATGTAGATTTGTGCACATGCATATAGTTTTAGCCTAACATTCTGTTGTAGAGCTGTGCGTAAGCAAAATATGATTCCCTAAAATGCCCGATATAAAAGGCCCGATATGAAGGCGCTTATATATAATTTAAAAATATTATTATTATATAGACACACACACACACACACACATATTACCGTAGTGAAGGCACATTTGCGGCCTTCTCAAGTATATTTGTGAAAAAGGATGACCGTTGACGGAAGTTAAGCTTTAAATTTTTCTAAATTAAACTAGGAAAGCGCACCACTAATTCTAGTAGGTCTAGATGGACAGTCGAACGAGTATAAATCGATTTACTATTATTATTATTTTTACTTTTTTTGTAGACACAAAAAATCTGTTTGGAAATACATAATTGTTTCAAAATTATACAACTCTCAATTAATAAAGCATAGGCCTTATGACTCCTTTAAATTACTTGTTGATCTCTCCTTTAGTCTTTCTCGAATGATTGTCAAAGTAAGTACATTTTTTTTGTGCGTGAATGCCTTAGCGAATTTTTTCCCTGTTGTCCTTGAGCTTAGTAACTTTATTTAGCAGGGACGTCGAGATAAAAACAAAAAAAAAAAGAGTATAAAAGCTAAAATTGATAAAAAAAAATAGTCAGAAAAGAGATTTAATCGTCTTTTCCATAAAAATTTATTGAATCAAAAGTTTACGAGGGCGTTTGCATTATTTTATATAATATATAATATGTATAAATATACGATTTTTAAAAGATTTTTGTTAAAGATGCTCTCAGTTTACTCAAAAACAAAAATTACTTCTTCAAAAAAAGTCCAAATTGCTAAAAAGACGATCAAAAACAGAATTTAATTGTATATTCCATGAAAATTCAATTAGTGGTTTTCGCCCGCTTTTCCATAAATTTTGGTGAAACTTTTTAAAAAACTTTCGTTAAAGCTGCTCTCAGTTTGGTCATAAGACATCACTTCTGAGGTTTTAATTACATGAACGTTCATGTAAGAAGTATTTCGATAGTCTATACTGATTACTGCGTAAAATAAGTAAAGAAGAGAGAAATAGTTCATGTTAAATAGAGCAAAAACAAAAAAAGGTAAGAAAATCAAAAACAAAAATTCTTTCAAAATTCGATAATTTTCGATTAATAAAACATCTAATCTCTCTTTATTGCATATGTTAAGTATGGTTAGTAAAAACCCAAAAACACATAAGCAAAAATGGAAGGCCTCATGACTCCTATTAAATTACTTGTCAATCTCTCCTTCAGTGTTTCGCGAGATCTTGTCCACGCAAGTCGACTTATTTGTACGTAAATACCTAAACGAACTTTTGGTATATCGGGCTTAAGCTTAGTAAATTTGACTAGAATTGAGATCAGTAATAAAATTAAATAAATACAAATTGCTAATAAAACCATCAGCAATAGAATTTAATTGTATTTTCCATAAAAATTCAGTTAGCAGTTTTCGCGTGCTTTTCCATTAATTTTAGTGAAACTTTTTAAAAACTTTCTTTAAATATGCTTTCAGTTTACTCATAAGCAGACGTCACCTCTGTGGTTTTAATTGCATGCACGTTCATGTAAGAAGTATTTCGATAGTCTATACTGATTATTGCGTAAAATAAGTAAAGAAGAGAGAAATAGTTCATGTAAAATAGAGCAAAAACAAAAAAAAGTAAGAAAATCAAAAAAAAAAATTACTTCAAAATTCGATAAATTTCGATTAAAAAAACATCTAATATCTCTTTATCACATATGTTGAGTACGGTTATAAAAAAAACCAAAAACGCAAAAGCAAAAATGAAGGGCCTCATGATTTCCATTAAATTACTTGTCAATCTCTCCTTCAGTATTTCGCGAGAGCTTGCCCAAGCAAGTAGACTTTTCTGTATGTAAATACCTAAACGAACTCTTGGTATACCGAACTTGAATTTAGTAAATTTGACTAGAATTGTGATCAATTAAAAAGAACTAAAAATTTCTAATAGACCAATTGGAAATAGGATTTAATTGTGTTTTCCATCAAAATTCAGTTAGTGGTTTTCGCGCGAGTTTCGATTAATTTTAGTGAAATTTTCAAAAAAGTTTCGTTAAAGATGCTCTCAGTTTTCTTATAAGCAGGCATTACTTATGAGATTTTAATTGCATGCGAGCTCATGTTATAAGTATTTTGATACTTGCTACTGTTTACACGTTAACTGTCATTAGGAAAGCAAAGAAAATCAAAAGCAAAAATGGAGGACCTTATGACTCTCATAAAATTACTTGTCGATCTCTTATTCAGTGTTTCGCGAGAGCTTGCCAAAGCAACTGGACTTTTATGTAGGTAAATGCTTCAAATTACACTTGATATACTCGATTTTAAATTAGCAAATTAAGTGTTAGTAGAATTGAGATCAATGACAAAATTAAATAAATACAAATTGCTAATAAAACGATCAAAAACAAGATTTAATTGTATTTGCTATGAAAATTCTGTTAATAGTTTTCGCGCGCGTCTCCATTAATTTTGGCGAAGTTTTCAAAAGACTTTCGTTAAAGATGTTCTCAGTTTTCTTATAAGCAGACATTACTTCTGAGGTTTTAATTGCATTCAATCTCATGTTATAAGTGTTTCGATAGTTTGTAATGATTACTACGTAAAATAAGTAGAGAAGAGAGAGAAATAGCTTCTGTAAAATAAAGTAAAAAGCAAAAAAAAGTAAGAAAATCAAAAAACAATAATTTTTTCAAAATTCGATAATTCTCGATTAATAAAACATGTAACAGTTCTTTATTAGATATGTTAGTATAGTTGGAAAAAAATCAAAAGCAACAATGGAGGGCCTTATGACTCGCTTTAAATTACTTGTCAATCTTTTCTTCAGTGTTTCGCGAGAGCTTGCCCAAGCAAGTAGACTTTTCTGTATGTAAATACCTAAACGAACTCTTGGTATATCGGACGTGAATTTAGTAAATTTGACTAGAATTGTAATCAATAATAAAATAAAAAAAAAACTAAAAATTTCTAATAGACCAATCGGAAATAGGATTTAATTGTGTTTTCCATCAAAATTCAGTTAGTGGTTTTCGCGCGAGTTTCGATTAATTTTAGTGAAATTTTCAAAAGACTTTCGTTAAAGATGTTCTCAGTTTTCTTATAAGCAGACATTACTTCTGAGATTTTAATTGCATTCAATCTCATGTTATAAGTGTTTCGATAGTTGGTGCTGCTTACTACGTAGAATAAGTAAAGAAGAGAGAGAAATAGCTCCTGTGAAATAAAGTAAAAAGCAAAAAAAGGTAAGAAAATCAAAAATTAAAAATTATTTCAAAATTCGATAATTTTCTATTAGTAAAACATGTAATAATTCTTTATTACATATGTAACTCATAAGCAAACATTCTATTATTTTTTGTGTCATTTATGAAAGGAGTTCCGTTAGTTTTCATTGATTATTACATAGAATAAGTAAAAAAGGGAGTAAAGGAGGTAAATCAAGCAAAATAAAGAAAATAAAAATTAAAATAAATCAAGTAACAGAGAAGACATTGGCCGAACGTCAAAAGAGACTTTCAACAATTAAATTTGATAATTTTGGTACTTTTGGCAGCTTTTCTATTTCAATAAAACGCAATTAGTAGAAAGATTTAAAAAGGTTTGAACTAAAGTTTATAAATATTTGAAATGAAATAATGCTAACATATCATCGTATGTTCACTTTTATTTTTGCTTACTAGACGATAGAGAAGATCTATGTTTGCTAAAAGTTCTCTCTTTCTTTTCTTTTGCAGTAATGTGGATATGTGCGTTTGTGAAATGTTTAGCTTAGTTCATTCGGCTGTGATATTTTAGAAAAGGATAGATAAACGAAATAAATTGAATTGGAATAAAGTGGAATGCAATGGAAAAGACGAATTATCTAATTGTTACGTCACGTGATGGAAACGAAGTGAAACGGAAAAATATACAAAATAAGTTCAAACTATAAGCGGAACAGTTGACATTACATTATTGGTTGAAAATATACATTTACATAATGAGTGTTATATATGCGAAAATGCTAAGACTCTCTCCCACTCTTTTACTAATGTCTAAAATGATGAGAATATCTAACCAACCATCTGTTTGTTATGATTAGCGTGGCATAATTTCTTGATTAAAAAAGTATTGAAAGCAGCAGACAATGAAATGGTAAGTTTTCTTACGTTTAATTATTATTTTTTGATAAATTTTTATCATTAGAAAAATTGATCGAATTAAATTTTTTAAATATGACATAACAGCAAAATCAAACGTAAGAAAGGTTGATTTGATTTGAAAAGAAAATACCGTTAGCAACTGACGTTAATTTGCAAGAAATTTAATATATTGGATTAATTGGAATCATGAATGTCGAATTTTGAAATTTATTGAATTTTTGAGCTTTAATCGGTTCACTGTCCAATTCAGCCCATTTTCGATTGCACCTTAACTTTGATGGGTGAAAAATATTCAAATTTTTAATTTTTTCAAAGTAAATCTAAATTAAAATAATACATGTAAGGGGATAGCATCGCAGACATTCAAATGGTTAGATGGACAGACAATCAAAATGAATATATCTATATATAAATAATTTATATATACATATATATAAATATATATATATATATATATATAAATATTTGTACATATATGATTATTTGCTATTTTATTTACAGTTTTTATATTCATTATTAGGAAGTGTATGTAGCTGTATGCCTATATCTCATAAAAGAATTATAAATAAAATAGCAAATGCTTCTAAATTGTAAAAGAATTTTAAAACGTTTTTTAACCACAATTTTTTTTTTTGTTCATTTTAATCTGAAAAACTTTCAAAGAGCTTTTTGAGAATCTTTTTAAAAAATATTTTTGAGTTAAATTGACTAGGAAACAAGTAAAATCATTATAACCAAAGAAGGTCGACGATTAAATACCCTACGTAACTGCGTCTAATACAATTATTCAACTATTTTCGTCAGGAATTATCAAAAATTGTGCAAACGAATACTTTTCATGAGACTGCTTGTATGGTTTGGGAACCGAAAAATTGATTATATGACAATTTACTACTGTTAGAGAGAGAGAGAGAGAGAGAGGTTTAAAAAAATTATTTTCATGCAATGACATTTTCAAAAGAAGACTATATAAGAGGAGTGGTCTGAGGCGCAAATGGCCTGATCGAATCCGTTTTCAATAGGATTTTTTCCTCAGAGCAAAGATACGAGCATGTCGCAGGTGGCTTAAATCGGTTAAGTAAAAATATCCTCGATGTTGCATACATTCAGACTGAATTGATATAACTTGCATTCCAAGCGGTATAAGGTAGTAAAACGCATTATATTTTTTTATTTAATTAAAATTTAAATCCGAAAATATTCGAACCCAATTAAAGTGATAGTTGTTTGTTGCATAAGCAAATAAGAAGAAGAAAAAACATAACAGTAGAGTACTCAGTAAAAAAAAAACTAGAAACAAATAAAACTAACAACACAACTATTTTGGGGAAAATTTGCAAATAATTTATTTCAGCAATTGCAACAATAACAAACAAACTGTTGTTGATATCATTTCCCAGCACGCTTTCCATGTCTCTCTCAATCTCTCTTCTTCTCTAACACGAACCCATAATGCTGCACGTAAGACATTCCTGCTGATGTCTTACCATAAACACGCCTTTGTAAATAAAACTGAAAATAGTTTGCAAACGGAAATAGACAAGTGATGAGAGATGATTTGTTTATTTGCTTGTATTAAATTTTATGGACAAAAAAATAGATATAAATAAAAAAAAAAAAAAAAAAATAAATAAATAAAAGAGATGTCAGAGCAATTCTGGGTTGAAATCCAATATCTAAGATTTGTTTTGTGTTATATATGCATCAGTTTGTTGGTGAATATATTTTCCAAATGAAAATGTAAAATCAAAATCTCATTTTATTGTTGTTGTTTATGGAACGTATAGTGTGGCTAATGCTCAGATATTAAGAGGAAGGTATGCATCTCACCACCTATAGCCTGCGATTCTTATAAGAATATTTTGTGTAATAAAGGCAAAGCAAGTCATACACAAATACATATACCCGCACATGAATACGCAAACACAAACACATGCAAATGATACATGCATGCATAAAAACACTCTATGTGTATTGTTATACTCGAAAGACATATTCACACACCATATGTCTTACAATGCAAGTGCATTTGTATGTGCATATGTGTAACAAGTTGTTTCTTTGCTCGTACGGTTGGTTGGTTGCTTGGCTGGTTAGTTTTATGGCACTCGTGTATCATTACCATTGTTGATTCAAGTGCTTTCAAGGATTTAAGCAACAAGAAGGAAAAAATATGAAAACACGAGAATATAAGAAAAAAAAGAAAAAAGAAAAGAAAAATGCAAAAAGAATATAAAACAACATAAAACAACAAACCTTAAGAAAGGAAAAGAAGAAAAAGCAGGAAGAGCCTGAATAAGACAAGAAGAACAAGAAGCATAAAACATTCACACAGATGCAAATTACTTAAATACTTTTCGGAATTGTTGCTGTTTGAATTGAATTGTATGCTTTCACATACAAAACATGGCTAAGGATAAATATGCTTTTGTAAAAGAAATCCTTGAACGCATGCTGCTGCTGCTGTTGCTGCTGTTGCCGCTGTTACTTCCTTCATTCAGATTATTACCAGAGTACAATATTGTATAAGTTGGCAAAGGGGTATATATACACGGTGGCGTACACTATGTGTTTCCAAAATTGCAATTGCAAAATATTTGCATAACAATGACTATTTTATGGTTTTCTTCTGGCTTTCATCCATTCCCTGCTAACTAACTACTCTCTCTCTCTCTCTCACTCTCTCTCCCTCTCTCTCTCTCTCTCTGTCTCTGTCTCTCTCCTTGTCTCTCTACGTGATCACGGATGATGATGATGGTAATTTTTTAAGTGTGGGTGTGTTAGTTAGCTGTTGTTGCATATGTTATAGAGTCATAACAGTTGTAGTAAACATATCTAATCACTTACTCATGCCAAAGACAAAAAAGATAAAATTATAAAAACTTGGAAAAAGAAACGAGAGTAAGACCACATGAAACTAATTCACCAGCTAACAGGCAGAAATCGAGAAAGTACATACATAAAGTACATATAAAGATTTAACTTGCTGGAGTACAATTAATTATATCAACAAGTCTTAATACGTTTTCATGCATACATATTGATATTTATATCAACCGCATTATTATATTAATTGCTAGTGGAAAGGAATCGTAAAAGTTTCAATATTTAATTACTTTTGCATTTTAAAGCGTTTTTTTTTTTTAATGTACTGACTATCCATTCACGGATTAGGAACAAAGCAATTTCGTGACTGTGACTTTGCAACAACTAGAAATATATTTAAATGGTAGGACTATATGTATACGTATATATGTTGCCTTTAATCAGTCCGTTTTACAAATGCCTGGCTCTCAATTTGTCTTTCAAATCATCGTATGATGTGGATTCGCATTCCATTGGCAGTTTAATCATCGATTGCTCTGTAGGCTATCTGGCATTTTGCTTGTCTTCCTGCTAATTCTTTTGCATTATATCCGTTTGCCCTCATCTCCCTCGTTCGTTTTCCAATCTAAACCTCTGATGAAGTATCTGTCGTCGACCTGTCTGTCCGTCTCTCTGTTAGTCCGTTCGCCTGCTAAACTGTCCGAATACTGCTTGCTTTTCAATTTGCTCATCATTCAATCTATCCATCCATTCATCTGTCTCTGTCTCCATCCTTCCGTCCTGTCTTTCTCAAAGTCCGTTCTGTTTAAATTATTTCTTCCATTCCTACAGATTCGATGATATATTTTAAAGGTTGATACCCAATCTATGCAGTCTCGCTTTCGTTCTATATATTAATAGCAAAAAATCCAAGTAATAGTCGCAAGAAAGTGTTTAAAATAACTTAAGAAAGAAAAGATTGTCGAAAAGAAGAATAGTTCCATACTCTATATCCTTTCGAAATTATGATTTACGTTTCGGCGAAGTGATTACTGACACGTCCGTCGGGACAGGTCGAGCGATCTGTGCTTGATATCTAGATCGCGACTCGAAATAAGCTCCAACTATGAGAAATGATTCAGCTGATGACCAATACACTGGGGCTTAACGTTGCAAGAGTATTCAAGTACAATAACAGCCAAAGTCAATAAAGGTGAGGTTGAGGTTTTGATTATAGGGGCCACATGATCACCGGATCACTGCCTTGTTGCCCTAATTTTCTTCCTAATATTTATATTGAGTATTCGAAAATCTCTTCACATTAATCTTTATTTTCTATAGTGTAAACTTGCAATCTGAGAAGACGTCAAGAAGTTTATAAATGATAGACACGTTTAGCATTATTCGACTGATTCCTAGGGTAGTTAAATTTAGCAAGCGTTAAACAGTTTCCCTCTGGTGAGACGCGGACGATGGGATCCCGCAAGAGACAGGGCTAGCAAAATACCACAAATTTTATTTACACGAATTCAATTCGTTTCCCATAAAGACCATATTGAGGAGCCCCAGATAATGGATCCATTTTTATAAGAAGAGTAGGGAAAAAGAAAAAGAAGATTTATGTAAAAATTTGTAAGACTTTGTCAAAGACTATTGCTATAGCTTCTTCTCGTAATCGCCGTCATTTCTCAATTTTTTTTTGCACTAAGAGATAGACTAAGAGAAGACTAATAGCGTTACCTCGATGAGTTGTAAATAAATTGATTGGAAGTTTGGTGACCGGCGGCCAACGTCAATTGGACAAACGGAAAATATAATGACAGAGATCGTATTACCCGGTGTTGCTTTTCCATAAGATTACCGATCGGCCCATGAATGCCGGAAGACGTCTGTAGTAAACTTAAACAATTGGAAAAACTAAAAATACGTAGCGTTAGGATAGAGACCGCATTACCGGGTATCTATGTGAATCAAATAAAATAAAATTAAAATTTTAAAAAATTTCCAAACATAGAATGCTTTTCAAACTTTACGTAATATAAAATTCATTGATTCATTTCCGTTAAGATTTCGATTCGAGTCAAGTTAAGTCAAATCAAGTCAAGTAAGTTTTTGTTCAACGTTCCATATTAACAAGATTCTAGCGCTTCTGCGACTTGAATTACATGAATCCGATCTCCTTGGAAA